CTTTCCCAAACATTTTTTTAATTTCTACAGTACCAATTTTGTGGATTGCACAAAAAACCCTGTCAAGCCAAAAAGATAAAGCATATATATACAAAACCCAGATTTGAAGTAGTTTTATATCGGGGGATTGCTATAATGGAGAGCCTTATAATGAGCGTAGACTATAATTGCAGGGATTGGGTTCAGTCAAAGTTCTGCCCTTTACATTGCAAGTGTTGTAAGAAACCACAAAAAAATTCCCAAAAACCAGTTTTGGAAATTTTGATGGCCTTCATTTCATGGAAACTTTCAAGGTACTCTAAGACAGGACCACCAGCAGCAGGCAAATATTACTGCTGCTTTTCCATGTCTCCTGATGAACATGTGTGCAGTTAACATTTTCCTCCTGCCAGTGACAAAATATACAACTAAGAAGTCTTTGATCCTTTTTTAAATCATCTTCAGAAAATGAAGGTCCTAATTTTTTTTTTTTTTACTGACTTATTTAACAATGAGTAGAGTTTTGCCAAACAAATGAGCTTGCAACTTTATATTCTTAATTTTAGCAAGCTGCAGGGAAAATAAGATTAATCGTTCACACTCACGGCAGTTCACAGAAAGACTCTGTAGAGTAGATGGGATAAAAAGGTATTTCTGCTGATAATTAACCTTCCTGGTGAGTTTATTAGTGAGAGTGTCAGGTGAAACCATAAATGTGTTCTTCTCAAATGCATTACTTCTACAGACTCACAATAAAGCAGGATATAATGTGCATTCATTATAATTAATATACAGTCTTCCTTTATTGGAGGATTCACCTCACTGAACACCTAAGGTATACATTAATCTGCTACCACACAGGTTTGAAGTTTCAATGCCAAATTAAAATATAGACCAAGTCTCCAAATATATTCACTATGCAGAGCATCAGTATGAATTCACACCACATCATGTCACTTACAACTAGTTTTGATAAGTAAGTACTATTTGAAAGGCATTTTTTTTAAGGAATGAAATGTTATGAATGAAAATGGCAATAATAGTAAGCAGAGAACTGAAACTGTGTAACAAATTACAGTAATTAACAAGGAAAAGTTTTAAATTGTTTTTAAAAAACAAGTCTGCACTATTATTATGTCTTTTAAAATTGTGAATTCTCTTTAGTATAGAACACTATTTCGGACCATTTTCTTTATCTTGTTATCTTGGCTTTTGCTAGAATTTCATTTGCTGCTATCTGTATTTTAAATGTGATGAAGCTAATGTTGCTAAATTAGAGGTTTTGTAACAGAATAGATTCATGTTCTGATTTCCCACCTTTGGATATCTGAATAAAAATTATGTTTATTATTGTTTATTAAACTGCTTTTTTTTTTTTGCCAGTGTTTTCATAAACAATAGTAACTATCATTTTCACAGTACTGTAAATTGTAATTGTGTATAAGTTGCAACTAAAGAATTCTTACAATACCCACATGAAGTTTAAGAACTACAGTACTCTGCCTGGTTCCCATGGTTCTCAATGCTTTGCATAGTCCTTGCAAAAATAGTTCAGCGGCTGTTTTAATGAGTAGCCATGGATTTCCTCATTTGTCACGTTCTGAGGAGAATCCGCAGTTGGTGCAGTATTAGTCTAATAATACCGAGTTCTTTTTTCTCATTCTGTATTTGCCCGTAGTGGGTGGGAAAGACAGGGAGGGACATTGCAAGGGCTCAGCAGAATTGTGTCAGAGCCACTCCAATTCCTCAGCAGCATCCATGGGACTGCAGCACTTGCATTTTAACCTTTCACAAAAACATGACTGGGGAAGCAGAAATACATCTTGTTATTTACTTCCCCTACTGATTCTGTCCATCTGCAGCAAGTGCAAATTCTGTAAATACTGAGACAATGGTACTATTTCGTGAAGATTAACAGCTATTATTGACAGTTAGAGTGGTTAGAAAAACTAGATACTGAAGAAGTTGAATGTGACAAAAGAAATACAATGTCTGCTTCTTTATAAAAGTCTTACATAGTGCCTGTCAGGTTCATACCAGTAATACCAGATGTTCACCTTCATGAGAATAACTTCAGACACACAATTTTAATTAAAACCAAAGACAAATAAAAATAATTGTAACATATTTTTAAAATACGTTTCAAATTTACTGTATGTCACTATTGTAGCAAAGCAATGAGAAATACGTAGGAAAAAGAGTCTGAAAGACCCTTTACAGAATTCATATATCTGCAGAAAATATATGCATTTTAAGGACTGTGAGATACCAATTGAAATGTAATTCTCCAGATTTTTAGTATTAAGTTGAGGCTACTTTGTGTAAAGCCCCAGTCCTGCACTGAGTTTTGCTTTGGAAAGGGAGTGCTTAAGATTCTTTGAAGCTGTTGTACTCAAAGCTATATAGTGGGTCTCCACTCACGTGGAAGCCAGTTATTGTACAGACAACATACTAATGATGTTTTGAAATCATGCCACATTGAGCTTGACCATGTGCCTGTGGCTGTTGCACAATTTGAAGGCAAAAGGCACTGAAGAAGTTTTCATCCTCCTTCTTTATGAAATGTGTAGTAGGAAGTGTAATAATATGATTAAGAGACAGTCAACAGCTAACCAGTCATCAGATGTACTGCCTTGTCAGTATGTTTTGTTGGAAATATATGGTATTATTGACCTGGATTTCTTTTTGATTCATTTTTGCAATCAGTGATTAGGCAGAGGAGGAAATATCCGTGGAATTTATTCAAAATGGATACACAGGATACCTACACTGATAATTTCCCTCAATATAGACAGCTGCCTTTGCACATGCTCAGACTTTGACAAAATGCAAAAAATCCAATAATTTACTTTAAGAGATTACTTAGAAGAGTGTGAAACACTTCTAATATCAGTCTTTAGCTATTTAGCAAGCATCATTTGTAGTGGTCATAGATAGTATGGGTGAATTTTAGTAGTTGCTAGGGCTGTCATTTTGTCAAGATATCATGTGATTGGTTAAACAGTTCTCTTTATGAAGTTTTATTTTGATTCTTAAAGCTTTACTTCTCAAATTGTAATGCTAGAAAAAGCTTAGAACTAAGTGGAAAAATGTCTATTTTTACTTGTCAGAAGCTGCCATGAAACTCTGGGTGCTACCTGGCCAGGAGGATAGTTGGTCTCTTTCAGCCAAATTAACTGTTTGTTTAATTTAAGTGTTGTGTTTGAAGGAAGACTTCCACAGATTTTATAACAGCGAAGTACATGGGAGAAATATAGCAATGTGTAGGAGAGAAATGAATGTTCAAGACATAGAATCATAGAATCATAGAATCGTTTAGGTTGGAAAAGACCTTTAAGATCATCCAGTCCAACCATTAACCCACACTACCAAGTCTATTCTAAGCCAATCAAGGGTAGACTAGACTAAACCATGTCCCGAAGTGCCACATCTACCCGTTTTTTGAACACTTCCAGGGATGGTGACTCCACCACCTCTCTGGGCAGCCTGTTCCAATGTTTGACTACCATTTCCGTAAAGAAATTTTTCCTAATTTCCAACCTAAACCTCCCCTGGCGCAGCTTAATGTAGCACCCTGTAAATGTGTCTGACATGAAATCTTCTCCTAAGAATTTTTTTCTCTTCTATGTTTCCTTTTTAATTAATGTTAATATTGCAGATACTGTTGAATAACAGAGACTTTTTCTACTCTGTTGGCAATTTAATCAGATATTTTAAACAAAACATTTAATGACCTGTAAATATTTTTTATTTGTATAGAGGAAAAATACCAAAAATATCAAATAAATGACCCAAATACATATACTTCTTATAATTCATGCTTCATTTTATAGGTTTTTACTTCAGATTACTTAAACTGCAGTTTCTGAGAAACAGACCTTTATTTTAAACCAAAAAAGTTCCCTGCTCTGCCACTTCACTGTTCACAGGTGCAATAATATTGTATGCAGAAAAGATGAGGAGTCTCAAAAATGACTGATAAAAAACTGTATCTGGAATTCAGTGAATTCATTTGAATATTCAGTTGATTCTCAGTTGAAAATCACACAGTGCTGCTTTAATAGATTCATGATACAAAAGGAATGGCCTAAGACAGCATGTCCTTCCAGGAATCCCTGACTTCAGAATATTATTCTCCTTTTTTTTATCATACCTTAAAGCTACTGTGCTTTAGGGGAAGAGTCCATTATTCTTCATGGCCTAGGTACATTCACTGAAGCACACAAGCTATGAAGTTTGAGGTTATTTAAGAATGTATATTGTAATAGACAGGTGTAGTATATTACAGGCAATTGTGTGGAAAGGTCATTAGATATATTGCCTTTACTGTTGTAAAAGTTGTACTATAATACCTCCTTAGAACAGTGAATTGATGCTGTAACAGAGAAAAGGAAGAACATAAGTATGGCTAGAAAGATTGCTACTTTTCTGTAGTTTACTTCTTTCTTTGTTTCTTTTTGTTTAGTTCCCTCAGATGTGTTTTTTATAAATTCACTGTGGAAAGGGTTTTATGAATATTTAGGAAAAAGACAGCCTGCTACTATGACTGTTGATTGGTTCAATACTACAAGCAGCAAAGTGAATGTCACATTCATTGAGGCATCCAACATACAACTCAAACTATCAGGTAGGTTCAGAATTTGGTGTTTAAAAAGTTGTTAATTTTTTTAATCTGTTCAGTTTTGTTGCATTTTCTGCCAAACACAAAATGAAACAAAAACTTTATGTTTTCCCTAAATATCTTTTTCTGCTTATTTTGCAAAAGGAAACATCCTAATGTAGTGGTCTGCAGAGATTTCAGTAAATTTATATGCAGTCACCCATCTAGTTTTCCCCTTATATTTCAAATAAATATTGACATAGGGTTTTTTCTTTGCAGGCTGTTGGATATTATTGATGTGTTGAACTCACAAGTAACACTGAAATGGCAGACAAAGTGTATATACACATTTTAAGAACTATAACATTGAAAAGCTCCATTATTCAGTAGTGATTAATATCTGCTTTAAAACAATATGGTCTTGATAATGGCATAACATAAAATAGGCAAAGATAATTAAATAACTTAGTAAATTATTTATATCTTTTAATCCACATTGAGCATTCCTTTCTGCAAATCTGACTGTGAAGTTCTGATTTAGCCTCTGATCATAGTTATATTTGACAAAAGCATTCTCAGCTATCAGTACCTTTTAAGGTCAAGAGTTCAGAGAGAATTTCTGTAGTTGGCTGCCAAATAGCAAATTTGCTTTCACTGCTCTATTGCTATTTACTATAGCAATATACTGTTGTGAGCCAATTTTTTGGAGTTCAAGGAAATTACAAGCAAGGAATTCTATCTGTATTCAGAATTATTGAAATACTGTGTGAAAAAAAAATATTCCTGCCCATTTATATATAAAATTAAACAGTACAAAACTGTCTTTGCATCCTGTTATCAAATATGATGTGGGAAAAAGATCATTAAAATAAGATAAAATAAGAAGCTGTTATTACAGCACTTTAAATCTTGGTTTTTCCAGGTTATAAAATTCTGCTATTACAGAATGTTTTCTACAAAATATTTTAGTTCTAAAGCAATATTCTTAGCTGTGAAAGGATATTTGAACAATCTGGTTGAAAAATTGTTTAAAAGGCATGTGTTTCCTCCTTTATGTTAATAGGTGTTTACAAGAAAGAAGAAGCCCATTTGCTCTTGAAAGTTTTTCAGATTAAAGGACCTAGTGACATTTTTGTAAGCAAGTTTGAAAATGACAACTGGGCACTAGATGGTTATGTAAGTAAGCAGACTGCTATGGATAAAGCTTGCTGAATTTAAAGTTTGAAGTAATTTGTGATTTTTCTATATAACTCTGTCCAACTTTTTATATCAGACACTGATGTCAGTGTAGAGATCACATTATTTTTCTTTTCAAAATTATGTATACAAACATCTATCTGCCACAGTCTCATTAGAATTTTTAGTTTGCTAAGGGGAAGGTGGAGTGAATCAGCACATTTGGCATGTTTTTGCCTTGTTTTCTTAGATGGGAGTGGGAATTTTACCTTTAGAAATACTGTCCTTGTTTTGGTTTGGTAAATAGCTCATTGTAATAAAATTACATTTAATCTTGAAGAAAAAGAGAGCTATTTTACTCTTTGCAGTTCTCCTTTGTGCCTCATGATGCTGTCATGGTTTACCCCCAGCCAGCAACTGAGCACTGAGCAGCCGCTCGCTCACTCTTCCTGCCCCAGTGGGATGGGGGAGAGAATCGGAGGAGTAAGAGTGAGAAACACTCCTGGGTTGAGATAAGAACAGTTTAATAATTAAAATAAAATAAAATAGTAATGATAATAATAACATAATAATGATAATAATATATACAAAGGAAGTGATGCACAATGCAATTGCTCACCACCCGCTGACCAATACCCAGCCAGTTCCAGAGCAGCGATCGCTGCTCCCCAAGTCAACCCCCCCGAGTTTTATATACTGAGCATGACGTCATATGGTATGGAATACCCCTTTGGCCAGTTTGCATCAACTATTCTGGCTGTGCCCCCTCCCAGTTTCTTGTGCACCTGGCAGAGCATGGGAAGCTGAAAAGTCCTTGACTAGCATAAGCAGTACTCAGCAACAACTAAACCATCAGCGTGTTATCAGCATTATTCTCATACTAGATCCAAAACACAGCACTATGCCAGCTACTAGGAAGAAAATTAACTCTATCCCGGCTGAAACCAGGACAGATGCTTTCTATGGAAAAAAATTTAAAATCTGACAATTCAGTGGACTTGTATAACCATATACTAATTCAAGTATGTGTATGCCAGTTGAAGAATTTTAAAACACAGCAATATATAGATCAGATATTTTAAAGTCATTCTGTGTGTTATTTTGAAACTTTTTTAAATACTGTTGCAAACTTAAAATAATAAATATTGTATAAGCATAGAAACTTAACTAATATTTTAAAGGATAAAAGTGAAAATCTGGGTTCCATATATCTACTCTAAGTCAGAAAAACAAATGGCTAAACATGCTTATTTGTTTGTTTCAGAAACCTTTTTTCTGTTTCAACATATTCTAGGTATCATCAGGGCTTGAAAGAGGTGTTTTTACCTATCAAGGTGATATACATGGAAAAGACTTTGGAAAATTTATGCTCCAAAGACAAGGTAAATGCATTCCTAGAGCTTTAACTTGTATAATCTTTTTGGTCTTGCAAGAGTGAATTCAACAAATGACTCAGCTATCCAGCTGAAAGTAAGCATGTTTATTTCATGCCACAGTATACATACAGCAAAGTGCTGTGCTAGGAGGAGACAGCCTACCCAATATATCTATAGCAGACTGTATCTACATTTTATAAATTGCCTTGGTTCCATTAACTTCATTGATGCTGTACCCAATGCCCTTTAAAGTTCTGCCAAATCTCCCTTGTATTTCTTTGCTCTATTAACTGCTGTAATAACAGTTATCCTATGGATTTGCTCATCTTGGCCACCTCTCCAATTGATATATATGTTTACGCACAAGGGGAAGAAACCTTACTCTTCAGAGTCTCAGCCTAAGAACTGCCAGTTACTGAAGCCAGATACAATTTCAGTCTTCAGAGTAAAGTTTTGTGCGGGACAGATTATTTGTCTGCCTACACTTTTGTTTAATTCTTACCACTGTAATATCTAAGCTGCTTTTTCTTTCTGATTTTAACAAGCACACTGTAAAAGTAGAGCGCCAAGATTTGTTCAAATATCTTGTCTTGTTTAGCAGCCTTTGATATCTCAAAACAGTGAGAGTATGTTTGTTGGTTTTGTTTGTGGGGGGGAGGTATTAAGCCAGGCCGAAAAAGATATCCATGGTTTGCCAGCTACCTAATAAAAGTTTGGATCCATGTGTTTTAGCAGTGAAATTAGTAACTCGTGGGGGCACATGAAGAGCAAGCAGAATGACAATGCAACAGTTACAGCATTCTTCAGTGGATGTATTCTACGGTAGTAGAAAACGTATCATCGTTTAGAGTTGCAATATAAGAGCTCAGTTTGTATATTCCCAAGGCTAGTAAAGAGCTGAAGTGTCCAAGTTACACAGTGTCCAAGTGACAAGAATGCCCTATCACACATGCATACCTAGGCCAAGGGCCTCTCGTCTTCAGCTTTGACATCTCAGCAGAGAGCTTGCTACAAATGCAGATACTGTCTCTTTTAGATGATTTCTTTATGTGTTTGCTAAATAGGCACTGATTTTCTATAGGTTGCTTGTTCTCTATTGAAGAACCTACAGTTAAAAAGAAACAGCAAATTTCCAGCCAACACAGGTCACAGTATTTGTCCATACCCTCTGAAATTCAAGGATAACTAGCTTTGTTTTTTAAATCTATTCTGTTCATGAATATTCTGCCAAGGTAATGAACTCATATGTCCTCCAGCTGAAGACTTAACATATTTCCATTTCTTCAGGAAGTTAAATTATTTGCTGCCTTTACACTAAGCCAGAAATATGCATAAACTATGCATGCACTGGTGCATAAATAATGTAATATGAAATTCTTCACCTGCAAGCATACTTCAAAGAACAGCATTTACTCAGAAATACTTGGTTATGTGTGAAAGACAAATCTATTTGATGAAGAACTCCCTGTCACACAATACTAGAGAAAGACCAGGTTCAGTGGATATGCTCAGTCTTGGAACTTAATGACATGAAAACAGAAAGAACTTTTGTTTCTAAGATACTGTTTGTCCCCTTTCAGAAGCAATTCTGTTTGCTTGTAGCCTTAGAGAATAAACCAAAGGGCAAAGAGGTCTCTGTTATCAGTCTGCCAAAAGAATTAGAAATGTGTCTGAGCCTGCTTAAGGGGCCCAAGTTGTGACACCAAATCTTTTAACCTGCTTTGCCAAGTAATCAGTCATTGTTGGGGCTTTTTGTTTGTTTTGTTATGTTTTAATAACTTGGTCTCTAAAGGCTGCAAGTCTGCACCTAGGTTCAGTTTCTATAATTGCTGAGTGCCTGTGCCTCAACACTGCAGTTCTAGAAGATGTTTATTCTAAAATCTTGGCCTTGTTCATTCCAGTCTGGACTGTCCTTTAAAATTGTATGAAAAGATGGCTTTGTGAGAAGAGAAGCTTACTTCACCAAGTGGTTATTTTCCTATATTTATTTCCTCTGGGAAAATACAATGACCCACTTCTCTTTCCTCTTTTTTCTTCAAAGTACTTTTTTAGCTTGTCTAGATTGAGATAAGAAATATTGACAAGAAATATGAAATATAAATTACTAACTTGCATCTGTGATATATTAGATCAATGGCTGTGAAATATATGTTCATTTCTTGAAATAGATCAACTCTTAAAAGCATTGATCATGAGATGTGAATTTAAATTTCACTCTATAAAGGTGTTATCCTTCCTCTCCAGATCATTTTCTACAGCTTTCATCATTCACAAAGAAACTCTATATCTAAACAGCATACTCACAGCTTCAGAGTACAAAATGGTTGTGCATTAGCTAATGCACACATAGATAGCTAGGATTAATGAGCTATGAGACTATGTATTAGTACACTCGTTACACCCAATGAAGAACCCAAAGAGTCTTTGCTATCCAGCAGTTATCAGTCAGGAGAAGAAGGTCCAGCCTCTCTTGCTCCTTGGAAGCTGCTGACTTGCTTTCCATGTCAATATTTTTTTTCTTATACCGTTAAACTGCTAACCATCCTTGTCTTAGAAATTAATCTTCTACCTGTAATTCTCCTTTTCTTATCTTGCACGGCTTTTGCTGTCACACTTTCTCCCACTTCATCAGCAGTTCTCTTAGTAAAACTGAGCCATGCTGTACTGATGCCAGAGAGCTGAAACCCTGGGCTAGGAGTTACAGGGGAAATGCATTTCAAAGTTTCAAACAATGACAAGGAAATGTTCTCAATTAATATTTTCTAACAAAAAGTATTATTTTCTAGTATGTATAAAGGAGAAGACTCAGTAACCATCTAAAGAGTAGAAGTACACAGCTTGTGCAATAATGACTTCACTGTGTATTATCAGAATTTGAACTTCACCTGACTGCTGCTCTTTTTAGGAGGCTAAATAAACCTCTGTTATTCTGTGAGGTGTTTAAAAAGCATTTATAATCTTACTGAATATCCCTCTATTACATAACATATTTCCTAGTATCAAAGTATGGGTTTTTTAATGAAAAGTGAACCAAACTTGTTTTGGTTTGGTTTGGTTTGGTTTTTTGTCTACTAGCATGCAGATATTTCCACTTTTCTCATTTTAGCTGTGCTAGCAATCAATACCTAAATTAGAGCAGTACACTAGGCTTTCCCATTTCTCATCATGATAACACTGTCAGAAGAAATACAAAGTTCACATCAGGATATGTTTAATCACAAACAGCTCTGAAAATGATTGTATTAAGTGGCCCAGACTATGTTGAAGTTATATTGAGTATCATACATGAACAAAATTCAAATTATCCAGACTTGCAGCAAAGCTTGTCTTCCATAATGAAAAGCACACCCAATGCACAGTCTGAACCTGGTTAACACTTCTCCAATGCCAATTAAAGGTTGTAAACTTCAGTTAAAAATTTCATTACTCTAAATATGGTACTTTAAAAACTGTAAAGATATAGAATATTCAATTAACTCCAATTGGAGTTTTGAGTACTAAGTATTAAATGTTAGTTATCGAACAGAGATAACTTAAAATTATATAATTGTAATTTTGTGCCTAGTTTTAAATGTTCAGTTACACACACAAAAAAAATTGTTTTTTTTTAAAATTCCATATCAAAATTTCATACCAAGAATTGCTTATTATGAATTTCAAACTACTGTTTTATTTTAGCTGAATCTGTTTTATTTTAGCTGAATCCTGATTAGATATTTTATCATTTTTCTGCTACTTACATATTACAATGTATCTATCATATGTGCCATGATAATAGCTTTGAGATACAAATTAAGAGTTCATTATCATACATATTTCTGTTTGTTTTGGTACTTAGTTAGAATTTTTAAAAAAAATTAAGAGTATTAATTCCAGGTTTTTGCTGATATAAGCTGACTACAATGAATGTAATCATTACCATATTTTTTATTAATTACTCCAAACAATTGGAAAAACAGCTGGGGATTGTGATAGTAAAAGATGAAGACAGTGATAACTGCATGCAGTTTTTTAAACTTCTATCACTTCTTCTAACCAATAAAAAATTCAAAGGAGCATTTAAATTAACATTTCTTAAACTTTTCTTAGCTGTGGTAACTACTTGATTCTATCTGTCTTTAATTTAGATTGGTTGGAGAATGTCCAGTACATGTGCAATACAATACAAATACATAAAATTACGCCAACAGACCTTCCATACTTTGAGTGTTGGGACAAACACTGGATTACTAAAGTCCAAAGATTTTTATAATACACTGGTTCTACTTTAAACCAGTTCAATATTAATTAAGATACTCCACAGTAGTGTGATAAAGCTCATGATCCCAACTACCACAGTAATAGGTTTATTAATTTGAAAAGGTTTGCCTTCACCAGTTCTGCAGAGAAAGGAGTCTGAAACATGACAGAAGATTAAGGAAGTGAAAAATGTTGAAGTACAGTATTTTGTCATGTTTAGTGATCTAATTTGGCAATTCTGAAATTCCTAGGGGGGCTGTCTTTATTTTAAAGGGGACTTAATTACTTGCTAGAATTTAATAAATTTTGTAAAATTAATTATGCAAAATGCATTATAATATTAGCAATTGAAACATTTAAGTTTTAAAAAATATCTAACAGAACAAAAACTTACCTCCTTCCTCTTTTGCATTGAGCTCAAACTGCAAGAAATCATAGGAGAATTGTTTGCTTCTTTCTCAGTTTTGCAACTTATTTAGATATTTTATTAGACAGCTGAAAGCAGCACAATGGGTGTGTATCTACTATATAACTGGTCTGCACCAGAGTCCTAAAAAGACTGATGGATGCTGTTTCTCTCAATGAGGGACTCATGGTGTTTAAGAGAGTGTGTACTGGTGGGTTGGAGCATTTCTGAGTGATAAACACCAGTGTCTCCTATTCTTCTCTACTAGCATCCACAAAAATATCCCAGAATAGCAAGCCTAGATACCTGTCCAAGCCACATTGTCGCTGTACTTTCCCTCTGTCCTGGTGTCTCCTCCTTTGATAGGATCTATATATTGCTCTCTGAAGAGCTAGGAGTTCAAACTGGCAACATGGAGTTGGGTCTCAAAATATATTTTTTTCTATAAAATTTTTCTATGTTTTTCACTATAAAATTATTTTGCATCCTTCACAATTTCAACTGTCAAGTTGGCCACCTATTTAACCAATTTAACAATATCTCTCTTTACACTGATGGAAAAATGGGTTCCACAAAATGCTTTACAGTCCTGGTTATCTGCTTGCCCACAACAGGAACCCAGCAAGGCCATACCATAGGACTCTGCACCTCAGTTTTATCCCAGTGCAAACGCAGCTGCTGCAGGCTCTAAAACATGCTCATGTCTCACCCCTAAAGGGTGTTATAAAGCAGCCAGAACATTCACACAAGTGCACAGACTCAGGAGCGCTATTGAGCCGAGCAGAACCATTGTGGTGTGTTGCAGTTACCTCAGTTCTCTCTTCCTTTTTCATGTCTGATGTTGTCTCGCATGCTTGTTGTTTCTCAGATGAACATTAAGGCTGTGAGCACAGAAAACTTTTTGCAGTATTAACAATTTTTTTTGTAGAAGGTAAATGGCTTAATTTTATTAAATTCGTGACTCATGAGAGGTGTAGTTCATAATTATTTTACTTGCTGAATACTGTTTTCAAATAATTTTGATATTGATACATTATGAACGGGTATTAACAAGATTTATACTATGATACTGAATGCTATTTATTTCATGGTTTTAAATAGAATTATTTTATCAAGACACCAATTTCTTTCATTCTTGAATGAAAGAAGAACTGTGAGATAGAAAACCTGGGAATTTTATTTCTGCCTTTTTTGTTTCATTTCAGGTCCTTTAAGTGCAGACACAGACCTTTCAAATCACTATTACGGTACAAACAGCAGTTCTGTTGCAGCTGCCATCCTGGTACCATTCTTTGCTCTAATATTATCAGGGTTTGCATTTTACCTCTACAAACACAGGTATTGTAAATGTTATTTATTCAGTAACTTAATAAGCTTTTTGTTTTAATTTTGATAGGTAGGTGTAACCAGAGAACACAATGCTAAAGCTTTCAAGAATATCTGTACTCTAGAAAGACGAAGTATTCCCATGAAGGGGTTCAGGGCAGGGTAGTTCTTAATGGTCAACAATTTGAAAAATGATTCACTGTGTTAAAGAGCAAAGACCTATAAACCTTCTTGGTTCATTAGGCTGAATCAGATTGAAATCTCAGGTCATATGTTTTATTCTTTCATTTTAATGCTTTATTAAATTGGATGTATGCTGCTTCTTTCAAAATGCTTATGAGTATTAATTATACAAGCTGAAAAATCCATAAATCACACGAGGGAAGAGCCCATAATAGGACTACTTATAGTACATGCTGAATAAGCTAGTGGATAGTACTAGAGTTGGCATCACTTCAGCTCATATGAAACTTTTATATGTCATTGGATAATAGAATAAATCCAACCATCTTGTCTGAAATTTGGTTTAAAAGCTGATATCTATGTATCTTTTGAACATTTTTTCATTCTGAGTAGTATTTGGCTAGAGCTTTCTGGAACAATACTTTTTTTTGTATTGAGCTACGATAGTCTCCGACCTCCTTGTGTTATTTGCAGTTTGCAAAATGATGTTTAACAGAAATGTTGATTTTTCATAACTTGCTTTTAAGACTTTTGTTCTATAACCATGGTACTAAGAATATTTTGTGATTGTAAGACATCATAGACAAACTGAAGTGCACCGTTGCCCTATGATGGACTGGACTGTGTACCTACCTCAGCATTAGATGACTTGGGGAAAAAAATTGCAGTGGGGCTTGAACTTCAGAACTTCACTCAAAATTATACATGTCCTGAAATGTAATATAGCCTTTTATTGAAAAAACTGCTCAGGAATAGCTGTGAACTCTGTCTCAGAACATGATATTGTAAGATGCCTTTCTGATGCCTACAGATCTGCATTCTGAGATAGTTCCTGCAATGGGGGGAACGTAAACGGCAGCATGAAAGCACAGGCATTCAGACTGGGTGAAGAGATGGAACATAAAGGGAATGTTGCTGTCACTTTGCTCTTAGAAAGAGGAGGCAAACTCCAAGAAAAATTTAATAAAACTGTATTGTGACATAAGGGTACATTTTGTGATTTATTCTATGAAGTTTGCTATGTCCTGCATGAGTAGTGGAGATTTGGTTTTCTATTTAGTAGAAATACATATATAATTAAGAGAAATAAAAGTTAGTCTTCAGATGAGCAGCTGTAAAACCCAATGTTTATAGTACTGCTGGTGCAGCATTGCAGTTCTGCCTACCTTAATCTAAGTGCATTAGATACTTCGAAAAAGATGTTACTCATAACTTAATCTTTCAAACGATATTCTTTCTTTTTTAAAATTTTCAAACAATTTCTTCCATTAAACCACAGTTTTTAGAGGGGTTATCATTGTCATATTGTCATCAGAAAATTAACAGGTTGATTACTGATGTAAAGTAACCTAGGTCACCTTTATTCTCTTCAAAACAAAGGATGTTCCAAAGCAAAGAGAACAGAATCTGTGACTTCTGAAGGGGCTTTCTTGAAATTACCTTAACAACCTGAATAACAACACGAAATTTTCACAATGATGCAATAGTAGTTATGCCCCTAGAGGTTCTCTGTATCAGAGAATTTGAAGGTTGTCTTAGGGCACGATTTTATAGATGCTTCTGCTGTGCCTATGCCAGATTAATATAATCTAATTAGAAGCAGGGTTCTGAAACTTTTTTTTTTACACAGTATCTTTTATCTGACAGACAGGCATTGCTTCAGGAATGAAGGCAGCATCTCAGTCTTTCTGAAAAAAACTAAAATATATTTAATTACTTACACTTATGAAAGCTCCTAGTTAAGATTTCTAAGCATGTTTTATTACTTCTAAAATTAAAATATGCAGAAAAAGGCATATTTATGAGTAACAGAATTATTTGTAAGTTGTCAGTTTCCATTACTGACATCTTACCAGTGACAGTTTTCCCTACCTGCTATCCAAACCAGAATTGTTTTCTAAGAACAAGTTTGATATTCAAGAACCCTTTCTGAAGTTTTATCATGAGATTCTTTTCTGAATGGTTTTACATTTATTAAACACCAAGCATCTACATTTTGCACTTCTTTGTTGGCTTTCTTAGAATCATTGAATCATAAAATTGTTTAGGTTGGAAAAGACCTTTAAGATC